TATTTTTGTAAGCATCCAATGTTAATGAAATTTTTTACTAGATAGAATTATTAAATACTCGAAATGTGAAAATTTAATAAGTTTTTTTTTTTTTAAACTTTATTATTAGAGAAATTAATTAAATTCATGTTTGCAGTGTTGTTTCTTTAGCGATATACTACAACAACATTCAAGCGCAAAGCAAGTTGCATTTTTTAATTAAAATAATATATCCATTATTAAAATTGACAATTCCCATATCACATTATTACCCAAAAACTCGTGATTACTGACCAAAAAATCATATTCAAACTAATGTAACCCTTAATAGAGAAAGCACTCGAAGGAATATTGTTTGACAGATCAGTTGGTTGAGTAGTTTCGGAATAGATGTGAGTGATATGAATGACAGGACGTGACGATCTGGTAGAGGTACTCGGGGATTTCGAATTTGTTGTCGGTAGCAAAATATTCGTGAGTGAATAACTCGAAGGAAGATCGAGTTTCCGTATAGTTGCGGTTCCCGAAAAATTTAAGGTTCCAACAAAAACTGTTGCAATCTTGACAACTGAGTTGGGTTCTTGTGATTTTGAAAAATTCGAAGTGGTTTCATTAGAATTCGAAATAAACTTATTTGACGTCGTGGTAGTAGACGTCGTAGTGGTAGTAGACGTCGTAGTGGTAGCAGGCACATTAGCATTTGAAAATAACTCAATAGAATTTGACAATGTCTCAAATGATGTCACGGAAGGGAATTCGTTTAAAGGTAATGTATAAGAAAATTCTGCTAGCAGAATAAAGATGAAAAGTACAAGACTCGAACTTCGAATCCTGGGCATTTTTGTAATTGGATGAATTAGAATTTGGTAAAAGAATGTAAAATAGAAATTTTTTATATAACATCGAATGGCATTCTGACCGCCAGGGTTTGAAAATTATTGTCCTTGACGAAATATGATGTTTTTATATAAAAATTTCATTTTTATGCACGACATGTCTAAAATATAGTATCGTTAAACATTCATGAAACGATAATTTTGTTATAACACTGTAATTTTGACATATTATGAGATACGTTAAGGCTAGTAGTATGTGAACAATCGATCAATTAAAGAGAATGGATTTATTTGTTAGTTTTCAATTCACGTGGTTCTTTGTTACAACAATGTTTCTTTCTAATTCATCTTTATAACTAGCAACCAAGGAATCCAAAACCTTTTAATTAACACCACATGTACAAGAAAGAACAATTGCGGGGAAAGATCGGCGTGATGGCCGAATCGAATTATTAAGAAAATATGGGATTAATCTTTTTTAATTACGTATTTACGTTTATTTAAGATACGAAAAAAAAAAAACTTTTCATTAGCTACAAAATTATAGGTTATTAAAGATTGATAATTTCTTTTATAAATATCATTTGTCCCATCACTTATCATATCATTTTTTGTTTTTTCTTTTTAAAAAAAAAAAAACTAATAATAATAAATCCTCGTAACTTAATGAGTATTAAAATTCTTGTTACGTTAAAATACTTATGCAAAATTAAAAAAAAAAGCTATATTTTTGATACTTTTAAATGTATCTTTTTGTCAGAATTCTTATTTCAAATATTTATTAAAACATAAAGAATAAGAATTTTTTTTTTGTAGATAATGTGTTTTGAATAAATAAAAAAATTATTTATATATTAGAATTTATTATCATACATAAGAACATATTGTATTAATACGTGTTGTGTATCGCACATTTTTTCTTTGATATACTGTACAAATTTAAATTATTACAACTACTTTTAATGATGTTCTAAATGAAGGTTGTATTATTTTTTTTTAACAGAGTTTTTTTTATTGAAATATTTTTCTTTCGATTATTTTTAATTCAATTTTAATATATGCTCTAAAAAAAGGTGAGTAATAATAGCTAAAGTTTAACAATGTAATTAGTGAAACAATCAGTTAGTATGTAATTCGCGGGTTTTTAAGTTTCACCAATGACAACTGTCCAGGAACTATCCTAACGAAGAAAACTTAATTGTCTGCACGAAAGTAACAAAAGAGCCACATTCGGTACAGAAGTTGTCAACAGACTTGATAGAAGTTTCAAAACTTTGAAATAGCATATAGTAGATTTAATTAGATTTAATAATAATAGAAAAAAGAAGAATTACGATTCGATAATTAAAACCAGTCAGTACAACCATTACATGCGAT